GACGTAGAACACACATTCTTTACATTCAGAGGAAAGCACGCAAATGCACCATGGTACTCTCCATAATGGTGCCCTAGGTTGACGTGAAGGAGAAGAACTGTTGAATAAAGTCGTAATTTTTGTTTTCTTTGCGCACAAAAAGTATTCTTGTAGCTTCCTAAAATTGCGGTTGAACCACTGATGTCACATGGACTATTTTACCGAAGTCCTTGCTATGTTTCTGGGCCTGGGAACATTTCAGTTATGTTGCTGTCTATGCAGGGTCAGAAAGCTCACGGATTTCTTCAAAAAATATCTTAATCTGTGTTCCAAAGATGAACGAAGGTCTTATGGATTTGGAACGACATGAGGGTGAGTAATTAATGACAGAATTTTCATTTTTGGGTGAACTAACCCTTTAAACCCCCTTGTGGTTAAGAACCACTGCTATAGACACCATTATTTAAGTGGCTTATTTGAGACTATTTAGTAATTCAGAAGCAATTCCCAAGAGTGTCTATAAAACATGCATGTGTGAAAAAATAATACTATGATACTTGGATTTCCAGCGATATCGTTGACTATCGTCGACTGCAAAGATAATATTAAACTGAACTGAGCTGGATGATGACATCACTGAATTCAATGATGAACTGCCTTTAACTGAAAATTGTGTGTTTACTATTGTCCTTTTTTATTAATGACACACTATTTTCCTATTTAATACTGTAAAGCTGCTTTGACACAATCTGTATTGTTAAAAGTGCTATATAAATAAATGTGACTTATATAGTGTGTGTTAGTAAATACATGTGTTTAGCACATTTCCATTACCTCAAATTAATGATGTGATCTTCATGGTTTCCTCGATTAAGATAAACATTTCCAGGAAACACAAGCAGAAAAGCAAACAATATGAGCAGAATCTCCATGGAGTCTTTGCCTCGGTCCACATAGTCTCCATTGAAAACATAGGGTTTCTCCAATGACGGCATTCCATTCTGGCAAAATAAATAGAGCCCAAATCCATAGGAATAGATATACTTAAAGACATGCTTTATCAGGTTAAGACAATCTTGTAGCTGAGTGTAAAATAATTTAATACATACCTTGTAAAATATTAGTAGCAAGTCTTCTAATTGTCCATGTAAATCACCTGTAATAAAGTTCATTTAGAAGTGGCATCGAATAGTATTATAATAAAAAACTTGAAATGTGTCGGCAACTCTCACCACAAATGGTTATTTCTTTGCTATGGCATGTAGAGACTCGGTTGATATTTGGCAACACTCTGAGCAACTTCCATGTTTCCAGAAGAAGCTGAAGAACGTAACGAGAGTGAAGCTGCTGCTTGGAGAAACCAGAAGTGTACATGGTTATAGACACCGAGCGTTATCTGACTATCATGAAACATATTTAATGCATCCTCATGGAGCACCTACTTGTTTGTTTTTAAAGGCCTCTACAAGATCAGCAGCCTGATCCATATCTAAAGGAAAGGTTAGCCGTGGACCAGAGTAGATGTCTGGCACATCGATATTGGTGTAGCTGAAGTATCTCTCCCACTCTGCATCTCTGCAAACCTCGTTTTCTCTGAAGATATGTGAGATCAGATTTCCTACATGGTAGAACATATATGATGTGTTTAGCATGGATAAATTCCAGGGGAAAACTATAAATATGTTACGTGTTTATATACAACAGCTTCTTTTACGTTCACTGCTTGATGGAGTGAAGTTATCCATCAGGTAACCAAGAAAATTGTATAACTGTGTGAGAAAGTGAGAAAATAAATGTCACGTAGTTGTTCGCAGTTTTCAGAGTTAAATTAAGTAGACTATCAATTCATTCACTCACCTATTCATTTGTTCATTTTTTTTATCACTCTTAAACCTGCTAGTTTGCACGTTTTGGATAGTTTTTACATCATTCTTTGCTACGCGGAAGTATACTATTTGAATGTGCGTGACTTCCGATTCATTAGCAGCTACAGAAGATTGTCAAAGTGCAGTTAAAGTAAAACGATTTGTGCTACAAACCAATGTGTTTATGATTATGATAATTAATTAAAATAATATGAGAAAAAAACACCAGTTTGCAATATTAAGCAGCAAAATGGACTGTTTTTGTACAGGTATAATAACTGGAAGCAGGATACCGGAAGCCGCGCACATTCAAGTTGCAAATGGCTGCGCCCGTTCTTACGTTAAAAATAGTGTGGAGAATGGATTTCTTACTTTGATCTGGTCTTGTAGGTCTGCGTACTCCATGGACTGGAAGATGTTCCAGGTGTATCTGCGTCTCATTTCCATGCGAGCCGCATACTGTCGGTACCAGCGCTGGATCAGCACCGCAGCCTTCATTGCTTTCAAGAGAACACGACGAGTGAGGTCAGACTCAGAAATAAATAGGCTATAATTCAACAGATTTGCTCTAAATGCAATAGTTTTTGTGTCGGGCTTCTAGAATTACACCCAATTTAGCATCATTTGAGAGATTATTATTTATACACTGAAAAAAAGTTGGTGTAGGATTAGTTTGTAATATTTTTTGCTAGTAAATTTCACAAATAATTACAAAGGAGCAGCTGTTAATCCATTGAATTAAACGTGGAATTTAAGTAAATTAAGTAAAAATACTTAAACAGTAGGTTACTTTCTTGTGAAACATACTCCAATAATGTTTCTTTTATACACTACAACTTAGACAAGTAATTTTTTTATAGTGAAGGCCTATTGAAAGTCTTATAACTCTGTGTATAGTAGCCTATGTAATACCCAACAATAGTCAAATAGACATCATGGTCATAAAAGATGAATTTTTCTTACTTATGGCTGCTGCAGACAGGCATGAAAAAGAAGACATGTTGAGAATGTAAATGAGGTACTTATATATTGACACTACACAGAAATAGACAACCGTGTTCTAATTCAATAGCTGCGAGAGATAAGGTTTTACACAAGCTTTGCTGGACTGGTAAAAACTCACCTGGGATGACATTTCCATCTGTTTTAAGAAGAGAATTCATTTAGGTCAAGTTATATTCAAGCTAAATAGTCTTGGAATAAACAGAACTCGCTCGTACAGTATATATCATTATTTGAATGACTCTAGCCATTCATATTATTGTTATTGAAAACATTTTACATTACATTACATTTACATTTAGTCATTTAGCAGACGCTTTTATCCAAAGCGACTTACAAATGAGGACATATTTTTGAGGATTTTACCTTTATCAAATTTTCTATTGAATTCACTGGTTTTTGTGACACCACACCCCATGGCTTCTCCTGAAGGTAGAAAATATGAAAGTCAGTATAACAAGCACTTTTATTAAGCACTTGTATGAAACAATGATTTATATTTTTATATGTTTATTTGATACAAATCACATTACAAAATAATGTGGATTGGATTTGTTAAATGGTTAAGAAACCATTGTACCACTATAAAAAAAATGTAATTAAAAAACAACCACAAAAAACACTTAATTCAGTAATACACAATTTACACAATACATTATTTATATTATTCATTAAATACAAAAATTTAGACCAACAGACGTACTCTAGTAAATCATATTACTGTACTGTACAATATTTTCAAGCTTTTGACAACAGGCTACACTAACTGTCATGTTGTTGCACACGTTAATGAGATCCAGAGAGCGAGTTAATCTGGGTTCATTGCTCTCTTGCGCTGGCCTCAATCCTCCTTATAGAGCAGACGACGTCAACACGCACCTGTGCTCTGTGAAAGCCCACAAGCTTCAAACCCTCAGTGATGGCCCTGCTTCACTATAAACCAGCTTCTGTTATTCATTAAAATAGTTAACATTTGAGTATCTATCTCACAATTTTAAAAAACATCAAGAGTCAGAGATGAATGGGGGGTATTTTAAGGTATTTGTATTTTTTTGAGGAAATACTGAATAACTGCGGATTATGGACTATGGATTTATAGACTTATTTGTAAGGAAGGTTATTCATTAGCTCACCAGACATCACAATAATTTAGTGTAGTGTAACAGACATGCTCGTTCTGAGGTTAAACCTCTTAAAAGGGCTGTTGATAAAAGCTCATGCGACGTGCACTTTGAATCTTGCTCACAGTAAAATTAAGACTGCTACTATCAAAAATAGTCTATGAATTCTACAAATAATAAGACATGATATTTATAACATAATTTAACCCATACTAAATCCTGCCTATTTAAAAAAAAAAAATGGTTTAAGATTTCACACCAGTATATCACCATTAATTTAGTTTTAGTATTTGGTACCTTTCTATGTATTTCTTTTGAATTGAATGATAATATGAAGGGCTGTGTAAATCATGTCAGCAAAACAGTGTCCTTAAAACTCCAAGTCATAAGAGGTTGCAGCCAGAGATGATAAATCATGGTAGGTAAAACTCACCTGGTGCGTTTCTCTTTTAATCAAGGAAATCCCAGAAGCTTTATTTCCGTCACATTAACATGTCAACCAAAGGATTGTATCTGCATTCTGTACCCCATCGGTGCTTGAGTTAGTCAATGCGAAGAGTAGAAATGCAAAAAAATCAGCTTGTAAGGACACAAAGAAAGTATAGTCACATGCTCCCCCATGTCCCCCGAGAAACCTTCAATGTCCTGTGCAAAAATCCACTATTTTCATTCAAAAATAAGAGAAGACCTTGTGTCAAACTCCCGAGGCCTTCAGTAGGTATGTTTGTTTGTCTGCGTCTTAACAGTCTTCATCTGTGTAGCTGAATTAAGTGAACAAGCTCTGAAGGGATTAAGGGTAATAGCTTGATGCGACTTGACTGGACTTTTGTACAGGAAATGGCACTTTCCTAAAGGAAGTAGGTTGTTGCTGTGTAAAGTATAGCATGTAATAAATCCAAAATAATGCATTACACAAAAATAAATAATTTGAGGTGAGAGCATTTCTTGTTATGATGTGCACAAGATCCAGAAAGCCCTCAATGATTACAATTAACAATTATTTTAATATTGTATTCAGTTCAATTCAGTACAGTCAGTTCAATCGTGTATTACATGTAGAAGAGAGAGAATCCATCATATATGTTTTTAATGTGTAAATATATATCATAATAATCGTTCAGTAATGCATGCAGTATTATAAAGGCGCTCCGCACCGTGCCTAACAATGCCCCTTAGCTCTTACAAATTCACTGTACACCACAGCTTCTTGGGGCTTGCTTTAATATATTACAGAAGTATACATTTGTGTGTTGACAAAATAGAGCAAAAGCAGCCAATATTATTTCTAGTAATATTAAGTCACTTAATATTAACTTATTATTTATTAAAGTTATTAAAATCAGTTATACATTTGCAGTTATGCTGATATTGGTAATTATTTTAATGATTCTTTCCAAATATAGCTATTCAAGTCATCAATTAAAAAATCAAGTATTTTCCCTACTGAAACAGGATATAGGCTTTATCACAATATCTTGCAGCCCTACTTTAGAAGCAGGAGTTGTTGGGTAGTTCAGAACTAAGCTGTGTGAAAATTATGGCTGAGCTGGTCAAGGGAACGAGTCATTCCATCACATACAGATCTGTAAACAGAAAAGAAAGACCATTAACTGTAGAAAATCTGAAAAAATGTCAGTAAGACAGAACAGTCACAGTTCCATCACTAATGATTGCAAGAAACAGAAGTTTCCAAAGCATAGAAAAGACATGCGACCTAGTTATTCACACCAATTCATGTGATGCTCCTTGCAAAAGCTGACAGACTGATGTCAACTGAGTATTGCGAAATTCCCTTAATGTCAAAATAATATCAGAGAAGCCATAGCAACCTCTTACATTATGACAGAAATGTTGTTTCATCCAACAAAATCACTTATATTACCAAACCAGCCAACTGGACATCATGAAAGCATACCACATAACATGACGGTGGTAACATATGTAAAATCAATCTTAAGCAGCATATGTTTAATGAAAATATGTTTAAAGGGGTCATATGATGCTTTTTTAAAGATCATTATTTTGTGTAAAAAGCCAAACAAAGTAGTTTCGCTTTCACAACGAAACACAGCCCGACCACATGTGACGACCCCGGGCTGGACTCCGCTTCGTCCACGGAAATATGTTTTAAAAATCATGTAGTGTTATGGTTTGTTCTTACATCTCTGACAACTGTTGTGTACTTCTCAGGAGTGGCGGCACTCATGACGGCTGTATAAACAGTGATCCTGGAAGGAAGATCATACTCGCATTAAAAAGCTTTATTACAGAATGTGACCTTAAGACACACCTCTTTAACTAACACTTATACAGTGGGGAGATACAGTCCCCTCCACTAATATTGGCACCCTTGGTAAATATGAGCAAAGGCGGCTGTGAAAATAAATCTTCATTGTTTATCCTTTTGATCTTTCATTCAAAAAAATTCACAAAATTCTAACCTATCACTGAAGTAATAAATGTTTTAGCACACCAGGGTGACTAGGAGCATGAAATTGTCCAGCCATGACTTCCTGTTCCACAGGATTATAAATAGGAGGAACACAAAGGCCAAATTCCCCTATGTTGTTGAGCTTCGCAAAATAGAAAGTGGCTGTAAAAAAGAGCTAAAGCATTGAAAATCCACATTTCCACCATCAGAGCAACAATTAAGGGGTTCCAATCAACTAAAGATGTTACAAATCTGCCTGGAAGAGGACGTGTGTCTATATCGTCCTAATACATGCTGAGGAGGAGAGCTCGAGTTGCCAAAGACTCTCCAAGGATCACAGCTGGAGAATTGCAGAGATTAGTTGAGTCTTAAGGTCAAAAAGCCTTGTTTGGGAGGGTTTCAAAAAAGTTCTCCTCACTCATCCAAAAACAAACTCCATATTCAGTTGTCAGACATGACTTCAAATGGCACTGGATTCTATGGTCAGATGAAAAAAAAAAAAAGAGCTTTTTGGCAGCAAACCCACCAGATAGGTTTAGTACTGTACAAACAGGGATAAAAAGCATCCCATGCCCACGGTTAAATATACTGCTGGATCTTTAATGTTGTGGGCCTGTTTTTCTGCCAGAGGTCCTGGACATCTTATTTAGATGCATGGCATCATGGATTCTATCAAATACCAACAGATAAAAAATCTAAACCTGACTACCTCTGTTAAAAATCTTATAATGGGCCATGGTTGGATCTTCCATCAGGACAATTATCCAAACCAAACATCAAAATCAACACAAAAATGGGTCACTGAGCACAAAATGAAGCTTTGGCATGGCCGTCGCAGTCCTCTGACCTGAACCCTATAGAAAATGAGTGGGGTGAACTGAAGAGAAGCATATTTCAAATTTTTGAGGGCATTTTGGTGGCAATGGTTCTCCTTCTTCTCTGCATTTCTGCTCTATTCTAGCTTGTTTCCAAATCTATCTTTCTTGTAAATCTGCAATTATAGATTATTAATATTGTTGGCTCTGGGATTAATTGCTTTTGTCCCTTTATGGAGATTGTTTTAGGAAAAGTGTCTGCTAAATGAATGTCGTCATCATATGGTTACAAAGAACCCACCAGTACCACTTGGCAATATATCAACTTTGACAAGCAATGGTAAGTTAGTAAAGCTAGATGAGTTGAGAATCAGTGTTGAGTTGTTGGGCACCAGACATGAAAGAGGGTGAGAGTTCAACAGAGATCAATGCTTGGACTGTTCTAATTTACAGCTGAGTGGCTTAAACAATGAGTGTCTGTTAAGTTGTACGTGTGAATAGGCAGAAGCTTCACATGACTGGTTTCTGCAGACTCTCCAGGAAATTCCTAAATTCGGCATTGCATTGTTAGATTCTAATATTATAACCTCCATGAGGAGGAAGTGTTGTTATGTTTGTACTACGTGTTACCACATACGAGAAATGAGCACTCTACATGAGGCCATTACACAACCATAAAATATCATGTGATAGGTGAAATGCTGCGTTACTTTCCTCCTTACCTATTACATACTGGGTCCATGGATAAAACCTGTAACAATGAAAAAGAAATTATCACTTAACACATCAGTCAATAAATTATGTAATAGGATTGCATGCTTTCACAAACACAAGGGAAGTCTCATTAAAGTTTCATCTTTTTTAATATCTAAATCCAGAAATTACTATGATAATAACAAACAAGAACACATTTTGTAGTACATTATTAACAATGTAGGACAGAAATAAATGCCACAACCTATGACAATAATAGGCAGCCAAAATGGATTTATTCATTTACCTGATACAGAGAATCCATACTAATATGGTTTTGACCAGTGGCATTCAGTGCTTTCATGGCCACATATCTGAAACAAGACCAGGAAATGTGAAAAGCAATCCCTAAATTTTTCGGTTAAATAATCACACATTTGTGCTTTCATGTTATTGATAAAAATGTATTGTCTGCTTGCCTTCGGTCGTCTCGTTTAGGGGCGGGTAGCCAGTGGTCATAATTGGTTTCAACTCTATACCAGCTATAATAAGCAACAGTAAAAATCAGAGGCTTAGTAATGTAAAAACCTTAAGGAAAACACTAGTATTATATGAATGAGAGCCTAATGTTGCACTGGCATCGCTTTGTCTTTCATTTTAATTTATGTAATTAAAAATTGATGGTTGGTGCTTACTATCCATTAAGTGGATCAAGAGGCCAGATGTCAGCTGATCCGCTCCGGTCTCTGGTTATGACCACACCCTCACCAGCATGAACACCACCCAAAATGTAATAAACATCTGTAATGATCGGCACCTTGGCCAGTCTCAATATTGCATCCTGGAAATCCACAGCTGCTTCAAGAGTCTAAAGAAATCAAAAATATACAGATTTATTCAATGCAAAAGTCTCTTAACAGTCAAAGAGTTATTTTTGCACCAGTAAGTAAATGTATTTTGAAATACTGAATTATATTTAGAATGTTATATACATTTGTTCTCTCACCTCTCGCACTAGCCAGCTAACTGGAGAACTTTTTAATAAAACTGCTGAAATGACATTCTCCCACCAATGTCCCTTATCTGTAGAAATATAGATATAAATTAAAACCCCACAAAATTCACTAGACCATGTCTTTTTAAAAAATCAACCTACTGCGTTCGTTGCCAGACACTGTAAACTTGTTGGGGCTCTGTCCTGTCCACAGCCCAACATAACCAGCAAAAGTGGTTCCTCTGTATGCCACCTGGAGAGAAACGACTTGCAGATTCAAGAGTATAATATAATATAATGTAATATAATATAATACAATGTAATATATAATTTAATAATACCTTTCCATTTTTAATAAAAAGTACATCTAGAGTAAGATTTCTGAGCACATCGTGGGGATAATCCAGGTTTCTGCCATGGTATATATTGCCCTTTGTATCCTGAGTTACAATACTGGTGCAAAAGCTATTAAAAAAAAGCAAAGCAGCCACAATTAATGTTGAAAAAAAAGTTGACAACTAAAACACTTCAAGAGAGCTACTGAACCAAAAAGTTAAGTACTTACGCAGATACTTCATAGGCAAAGTTCAACAGCACAATATCTGCAATGTCAGTGCCATAGAAGGATGCCATGCCCTGTATTTCTCCAGCATACGGCTGTGGGATGTATTTCTCCAGAGCGTTCACTATCGGTTTAACTGCATCATGAACCCATTTGGGAACAGTTGAGCTGCAAAAGAGGGTTTGTAAGACATAAATGTGGATCTAGGGTGATGACAAACAAAATTTACAAAGTTAAAGAACATGGTAATACTTTAGTATAGGGACTAATTCTCACTATATTAACTAGGCTAGTTGCTTATTAGCATGCCTATTATTAACATATTGGCTGTTTATTAGTACTTATAAAGCACATATTCTTCATGACCATATTCTACATCCCTAATCCTACCCAATACCTAAACTTAATAACTACCGTACTAATTATTACTAACAAATTAGAAGTTTATTCAGGCGAGAATTGGACTTTAAAATAATATGTGACTGAATATTTCATTAAAAAATAGAGGGGAATGTCAGCAGCGCTTTATTTTTTATCACTTGCATTTTAATGCGTTGCAAACTTACGTATTTGGTGACATTCTGTGATATTTGATTACAAATTCTGTAAATTTTTTAAACTTGTCAGCTAGGTAAAATGATTTAATGGCTAAACTGGTTCTGGTCAAAATTGCAGGAATG